GCGTGTTAATGCGACACCGCGGCGCTCCGACTGCGTCTCCACAATGGATAATGACAGCGCTGGGACAGGTAGTACCTGTAATGGCCAGGAGAGAAGTGAGGCTTTTACTCCATTATCCCAGCAGTCCTCCGGGCCTGGAGCAGGCCGCTGCGCGGCGGGAGGGGGAGCGCGGTTCTAATCAGCCCCTGGCTCTCTTCCCAGCCCGGCACGGCTCCCTGGCTCTGCTGCTGGCGGCCGCGGTCAGCACAGCGCACGTCTCCGCCCTGGGCTCCGCGGGGCACCGCTCGTCCATCGAGAGGACGTACGAGCTGACCAAGTACCTGGAGCACCAGCTGAGAGACATCAAGCACACCTACGTGAGTCTGCGCGGCGGTCTGATGTGCCGACTCTCGCACTGTCCTCTGCCTGTCCACACAGGGCGGGGTTTCTGTGTGACACTGCTCTACCTGGAGCTTATCATCTGTACCTTCCTGTATGTTCACCAGTCAATCAGTGTGTCTGGACTGTATTGACCCCTCTCTCTCAGTGCAGTGTTAATGTACTGGAGTGTCCAGTCAGTGTGTCTGGACTGTATTAACCCCTCTCTCTCAGTGCAGTGTTAATGTCCTGTAGTGTCCAGTCAGTGTGTCTGGACTGTATTAACCCCTCTCTCTCAGTGCAGTGTTAATGTCCTGTAGTGTTCAGTCAGTGTCCAGTCAGTGTATTACCTCTCCTCTCTCTCTCCTTCTCTCCCTGTGTTCTAGTTGAGTTACCTTGGTCCTCCATTCAGTGACCCCGATTTCGCTCCCCCTCGCCCAAACTCCAGTGCTCTGGCCCTGCCCAGCGCCGCCACCCGCTTCGAGCTGTGGAAGGGGCTGGAGAACCGGGCCCGGCTCCTGCAGAACCACCGGGCCTACAGCCTGCTGCTGGGCGCGGTCCGGGAGCTGGCCCAGTCCACCGTGTGTCCGTACCTGCAGAGGTCCCTGCTGCATTTCTGCACCGGCCTGGACGGGCTGCTGGGCAGCATCTCGGGGCTCCTGACGGCCCTGGGGTACCCTCTGCCCCCCACCGAGCCCCCCGCCCCTGGGGCGCCGGACCCGGAGGGGGGTGACAGCGAGGAGGGGGCGGGGCCGCTGGCCTGGGGGGGCAGGCGGGAGCGAGGGCTCAGCGCGGACCGGATGTGGGGCGCGCCCCTGTACCAGAC